CACCAAAACCCCAAAACCCCAAAACCCCAAAACCCCACTTAGGCTTTAAAGAATTGAAAATAACTTGACTTTATATAATGAACAAAAAGAGTCTTGCAATCTTCATACTATTACTTCTCATAGTTGGAGAAACATTCGCAAGAAGAGCGAGGGGAGGAAATAGCTACAGACGAAGAGCCAGGAGCTCGAACAAATCTGGAACTAAATCCTCTGGAACTTGTAAAGGCAGTTCCATGACTTGTTTGATCATCCCAATTTCATGCGTTGGAGGTTTCATAATCATCATAGTTACAATTGTGCTGATTTGGAAATGATGGAGAACCAATAGAAAGAAACGCCAGAACTCAATGAGCAATAAGATCAAAGAAGCTAGGAAAAGAAGACTAAAGCTTGAAAAACTGAGGAGAAAAGACTCTTCAAAGCTGCAAAGGATGCATACAAACCAACAAGAGAGATCCAAGCAGAAACAAGAGAAACCTCAGGAGAAACAAATTTTAAATGGGGAAAATATCTATACACCAACGACTGCTGATAGTAAGAGAACTCATTTTGTGATGCCAGGAACTGCAGTGCAGCCAAATTATAATGTAGTTAACCCCTATGAAGGTAACCACAACCTTCAGCCAGTGCCAGTAACCTATGACCCAGCCTCTTACGGAGTTGAATATGACAGTCATGTTCAGATCCCTCCTCAAAGACTCAGTCCAGGTCGCATCAGAAGAGATTCTAGCAGAACATCAAGAAGAAGTTCATCAAAAAGACTTGGCAACAGGCCTAAGGATAGAAGAGATTCTTCAAGAAGAACCAGGACTGATTCCAGGAAGGTACTTCCTCACCAGATGGTCAACGAATCAGAGAGTGACCTCCTAGGCGAGAAGAACAGGTACTAACTACTTGTTAATAATCTGGCCTGGTTTAGTTTTTGCTTTGAAAAAAGGGGATTTGTTTATATGAATCAGAAATTTAGTGAATGGCTAGGATTTGCACGTGGGAGAGAGCAGAGGGAGAGGTGAAGAGTGCGAAGAAGGGGTTTATAGGTGGGAGAGGGGTAAAGGAGGAGATTTGGGATGAGGGGTTTTGAGGAATTTCGAGTGATTTGGGATGCTTTGTGAGAGGTGAAGTTAAAGGGCAATTTTTGTGGAATTGTAGTGAGATTAACCTTATTTTTCCTGAATTCTCTTGAAAGTTACATATTATCCCCATATCCCCTTCTTCCTACATTCCAACCCCTCATTCTTTCAATATTCCCTTGCCCAAAAGGGGTTTTGGGGTTTTGGGGTTTTGGGGTTTTGGGGTTTTGGGGTTTTGGGG